AGTTGCTTGTAATATTTTATGTTATGAATACATTTGTAACTAAATTTCCAAACTGTGTTAGTTTTGGAGTGAATTTCTTAATTAATTTTGTTTTGTCATAAAGTGTATAATAAATTTCAATTTATTATAATTTCAATCGAATATTTCTGTTTGTTTAATAAGGAAAATAAAATTTACATTTGCAACCCAATATATTTCAACAAATTGCTTAATCACATTTATCTGAAAATGTAAAAATAAATAAATAAATAAATAAAATATAAATATGATAATCTAGTCTTAGAAATGTCAATGACTTAACCATAAATTGAGGTGGGTCAGATTCTGACTCTTATTACAATCTCAGAAATAAAGGTACGTGAGCTGTCACAGAGTTGGTACCTTTTCAAAAGGTACACATTTGTACTTAAAGAGTCCATATTGGTACCTCAAAAGTATATATTAGTACCTAAACATTTTAAGAGGAATACTTGTACTTTTTAGGTACTAATATGTACCTTTTATGTACAAATTTGTACCTTTTGAAAAGGTATCACCCCAGTGACAGCTCACATACCTTTATTTCTGAGAGTGTAGGCTATTGCCAAAGTGACTAATCTATAATTGGCTGCTACTGTAGGTGACAAAGTTTGGATTTACCAAACACGTTTGTTAGAGGTCTAGTGTCCTTGCTTAATTAAACCTGAGGGTGGTGCTCTATTTTGATTGGTATAGGCAGTGTATTAAATAACATAGAGTGTTTTAATGTTGATTTAGTTTTCTGGAATGCAGATGTTTTGCATATTAATGTATAAGGGAACTGAAATGAAAAAAAGGAAAAGGCAGTATGTAATAACAATGTAATAACTGTGTCACTGCTTCGAAAAAAAAAATTAATTATAATTAGTTTGTTCTATAATTAGAACTTCTTCACCAAATTACATGAAATGCCTTTAATTGTAGGCTACACATATTTTTGATTTATTTATTAATTCATTTATACACTATTGTAACCCTTTATTTGTTTAGCAGATGTTTGATATTATACCCTGCCTATACTCATATACAGAATTAAAGGAAAAAAGATGTCATTGCTGTCATCTTTTTTTTAAAAGTACACCTTTTCACTTCTTTACTACTAATGTGTACACATTTAGTGGTCATAGCCGATATTGTGCAGTTCTGAGTGTGCTCCATGCAGGTGAGTGGGTTTGACAAACCACCTGTAGGATACATTATTTCCTCTCTATGCACCAGGCACTTTATTAAAAACACTTTTATGTTTTGTACATTTGTTTGTATAGCTACAATTTTTTTTATGTTTTATATTTTGTTCTGTTTTCTATAGCTATATTCTTCATATCTAACGTTTTAAATATTTTAAATTTGGTCTTGTTTTCTATAGCTATAACTTATATTTCTATATCTAAAATCGACTGTGATTCTTTTTTATTTGTTTTGTTTTGTAGATCACAGGTATTTATATAAGCATTTCACTGCATTCCGTACTGTGTATGTGACAAATAAAATTTAAATTTAAATAAAAATATGTAGCCCACATTAAATGTACTAGCTAATATAGACCCTTTAGGTAACAGAATCATTTGCACTAATTATAGCTTATTATGTCACTTCAAGGCTTAGGTCTGTGGTGTGGGAAAATGTACTTTAGTCTGCTTTCGCGTAAGGAAGCGGTTTTGCATTGCAAAAAGTTTCCTTTGACTAATTTGAACCCCTAAACTTCCTCTTTCAGGGCTGTGGTTTTATCAGCCATACTTTTTTGTTTTCTCTGCAGCAGTGTCTGCATTTTTGTCAGACTGTAGGGTTTCATCTTACATTTATATACTCAATGAAATCCATCAATCAAACCAACCCTTTATTAATTATAACCAACTCTGTGTTTAAATTTAACCTTTCACTCTACTATTTTGCGTGTCCCTAATTTCATCTAGTAGCAAGTCCCTAGTCATAAAACAGGACGTTTCAATTTACAGAATTCAGGATAGAACAGTTGTATGATCTGCTATCATATGACCACCTAATTTATTGTGATTATGTATGTGTGATTTATTGTGTAATTGCACATTTAGCAAACTCACCAAAATGTATTCTTTGAAGCATGAAGTCATATTAGCCTGTAAAGAGGTGAATTAAATGTGATAGTCAATGTTCCTTTCATGATCCCATTTTATATTATAGCACATAGATCGATTCACGTCATGCGTCACTACGTAAGGACTGGTGGAAGAGTGTCCTTTTAATGGAATTTGAAAGCGCACACCGAATGAAAAGAATGGTTATTTACTGACTCTGTAGGTGCAGAGAATAGTGTTGAACAGCCGTGTTTATATAAAATATATTGTCGCAAAATGCGGCGAAAAGTCACGGTAATAGTTTGATTAAGGTGTTTACATACCTACTGAAAAAAAAAAACAGCATAAACCAGCCAGTTAGTTAAAAAAATATTCTTTCTAAAGTATTTTACTGTTAGGCCTATCTTGGTTTTCATAAAAGTCTGTTCAGAAAGTTTGCAGATCATGGTGGTTGAATTTTTTTGTTTGCAGTGGCAAATTGGATTAAATAATGCTCGTAAATATATATACATACTGTACATACACAAACATACTGTACATACTTATAATATAAAGACGCCATTCAGTAAAAATTTGCTTCTATATTAACATATTAGGTTCAATATAATGCCACTAAACTGACAAAATGTAACGTTTCCTCATGAGATCAGGCTGAATAAAGTGTTGCAATATATGCACAAATTTTTTAAGCAACAACCCCAGCCATCCCAAAAATGGGAAACACAGTGTCACTTACAATACATACAGAGACATAAAAACTGATGTATACTGCAAATACACTTCCTGTATGAAATGGTCGTGGTTGTGTTTTATCTGCACTTTGATCAGTCTGTACCTCAGTCAGATTGACATAAATAAACAGAGAGAGAGGAAGAGAGACAGAGCCTGTGCTGCAGTGGACTGTGTGAATTGGATGTGCTCTAAAAATTGAGGTATGATGTTTAATTGTAGCTTTGCCATATTTTATCATAAAGAATTTTTAAAGCTGTATGAGGTAAAGAAGTTGTTTAGCTTATTCACACTAATCTTTCAGTATAGTACATGGATTAATTATTAGTTTAGACAATATTTATTACATTTTATATTTTAAAAAAATTATCCATGGTGTCGTGTTGTTTGCATCAAATTCTGACCCTTCCACTTAAATGTTGCATCAGTAACAGGCATGCTTTTCCAATCAACTGCTGTCTAATTTTGGTCAAATCCTAGCACAAGTTTGCTGTTCTTAGCTGACAGGAGTGGCACCAACATGATCTTCGGCTGCTGTAGCCTATGCTTGATGTGGGGAAAAAGTGCTGACACTTGCTTGTATATTAATTTCATATAAACTACTGCACACTGTGGCAATTTCACTGTTCTTTAAATGTCTATGCGGTCAATGCAGAAAACAAAACCAGAACATGGGCTAGCATACTTGGTTTTTACATCACAATTAAAATTGCATTAAAAGAAATTTAACAGATGCAAATATTTTTTAATGTGTTCCTCATGATTTTTATATATATTTTTTAAAGGTTGTACCAGTAAAGCCTTTACCACTTTGTTATGTTGCTATTCCTTTTCACAACACTGAAAAGATGTTTAATGACTGAAGACACAAACTGATGAAGTGTAAGAAATTTTGTTCCATTCTTCCTGCAAACAAGTCTTAACTTGGGCAAGAGTATGGGGTCTTCGTTGTTGCATTTTGCACTACAAAATACACCACGCATTCTCAATTGAAGACTGGTTGGGGCTGCAGACAGGCCAATCAAGTACCTGTATTCTCCTCTCCGCAGCAAGGACTTTGTAATATGTGCAGGATGCGGTTTTGCGTTGTCTTGTTGAAATATGGATGGGCATCCCTGAAAAAGAAGGCAGCATATTTTTGTCTAAAATTTCAGCATTAATGGTGCTGAGATTCAGCATTACTGGTGCTTCACAGAAGTGCAAGTAACAGTCTGGATGATCCTTTTTTGGTCTAGAGCACACAGCGCCCATTACTCCCCAAAAAAAATTAAAAAACCTGAAATACTGATTCATCTGATTACAGTACACGTTTCCACTATGTAATGTTCCATCCAAGATGCTTCCGAGCCCAGAGAGTGGAGAGTCGACAGTGCTTCTGGACACTGTTAACATAGGGCTTCCTTTTGGCACAGTGCAGATTTAACCGGCATTTGTGTATGCAACTACGTATTGTGGTACAGCCTATGTGGTGATTATTACTTTTCGATGAATGAGGATTTTTGATGTAGTGCCACCTAAGGAATCAAAGATCACGGGTGTTCAGTTTAGGCTACACTGAAATTCCTCCAGATTACTTGAAACTTTTAATTACATTACACATTATTGAAGGTGAAATATTCAAATGTCTCCATTTCTTTCTTTGAGGATCGTTGTTTTTAAATATTTTAATTATTTTCTCACGTGTTTGTTGGCAAACTGGCAATCCTAGTCCATCTTTGCCCCTTAATGACAGGTGCGGATGTATATTTACAAATGAAATAAAGTTGACCAGACAAAACATGAATTGTTTGATGTTCATATTGTCTGCAATGAAATACAAGTTAAAGTAAATTTGGAAATCACTACTTTCATTTATTTATTTCTGTTTTCTATACTGTCCTAAGTTCTTCTGAACTTGGTGCTAAAATGAATACCACATAGTGTAAATGAACAAAGACGCACTCTTGGAGAATAACTGATATGTCTCTAATGCTCATGAAATATTTGGCAAGCTAATGGAATTAAAAACCCTGCTGTGTGAAAAGAGTTTTGACTAAAATATACATTGGTGATAACCTACAGCCCATGAGAGAGCAAGACAGGGCAGAGGAAATTTCGGTAATCCAAGATCCAACTATCCTTGTTGTTCAGAAATGACTTCCTGCTCTTCTCTTATGTGATATATATTTCTTGTTTTTTCTCTTTCTTTCATTTCAAAAGATGAAGTGGACGTTGCTGGCAGCTTTCTCTCTGCTGCTGTGCTTTGGCTCATCTTGCTGTGATGATGCTCAAAAACAGTTCTCGTCTCCTACCATCATCAATAATGTGGTCCAGGACCCTCAAACAGGCCGAATCTACCTTGGAGCTGTCAATGGGATCTTTCAGCTGAACCACAATCTACAGGAGGAGAGCAGAGCAGACACAGGCCCTAAGAAAGACAACCCACAGTGCACTCCACCTATCACTGCGAAGTGCACCGATGCGAAGGAAATGGACAACTTTAACAAACTCCTTCTGGTTAACTCCGCCAACGGCACCTTGATTGTTTGTGGAAGCCTTTTCAGGGGCATCTGCTCTTTGGTAAACCTCAACAGTGTGAATAAACCGGTGTACTACAGTGACACCAAAGGAGAGAAGACATGGGTTGCCAGCACTGAAGAATCTGTCACTGTGGTGGGGGTCATTTCTTATTTTAAGGACACTACTACTAATGCTAACCTCAGTGTATTTCTAGTGGGAAAAGGTTATGGAAGTTCGGACAGCTCAAAGCTCATTAGCACTCGGTTGCTGCAGGAACATGGAGAAATGGATGTTTTTGAGAACATGGTTGAAGCTTCCACTGTTCAAACGAGCTCTTTTGTTCATCGGTACCTCCATGATTTTCGCTACACGTTTAAAGACAATGGCTACATCTACTTCCTGTTCTCCCGCTCTCCTGGCACTAGCGACAGCAGGAGGATTACGTTTATAGCACGCCTTTGCGAGAACGACCATCATTATTATTCTTACACCGAACTTCAGCTCAACTGCACCGTTAACACTGAACAACAAGAGAACACATTCAACAAAGTCCAAGCAGCGTATCTGGCTAAACCTGGAAAGGTTTTGGCTCAGAATATCGTCCCATCAAATCTAAATGATAAGGTTCTGTTTGGAGTGTTCAGTGCAGATGAGGCGGACGGGCGATCAGCATTGTGCATGTACCCGCTTAGCAGCATTAATGCCAGGTTTGAGGAGGTGATTGAGTCCTGCTACACAGGAGAAGTTCTGGAGGATGACAAACCGAAGACTGTTTATTCACCCTACAACTCCAAGAATGAAGCCATATGCAGGACCAAAAGAGATGTGAGTTGTTGAGTTTCTTCAGCTCTGCTTCTCTGTTTTGTGTTTTATAGCTAGTCTGATTGTGTTGTCTTTTTGCCCAACAGAAGAACATGGTAAAGGCATATATATGTGGCGCAGAGTTCCTGCCATCTCCACTAGCCAGTAAACCTGAGTATGCTTTAGCTGTCAAACCCATCTACACTGGGAATGACATGCTGACAGCTGTGGCAGTGGCGGTGGAGAACGAACACACTGTGGCATTCTTGGGAACCAGTGGAGCAGACGTCTTGAAGGTGAGGTTGTTGCAGGGTTTGATAATAATATCCTTTTTTTCACAGGGCCCTTGAGGTTTGACTGGCTGTAGTGGTCTGGCTTAGTTGTTGATCATTTGAGCTATTCAATTGTTAACTTTTTCCTCGCAGGTGCATCTTGACCCAAACCACACTGACTTTTACAACAGAATTCCAGAGGAGCACACAGAAGGTGCAGTGAACAAAAACCTCTTATTTGATACAGGTTTGGATCACCTCTACATCACCACTGGCAGAAAGGTTTGTTTATGAACACAAACACAATGTATAGATCATGTTACGACAACAACAAAACCTGTTTGTGCAAACCTATGTTGCCAGACAATACTAGAGTGATGTTGTTTGGCTACTGTCCTATTGACAATGATCACACAATTGTATCTGAATGCGGTTTTCCTGTGTCTCATTTGGTTGCCCATTGATGGAATAATTTCCTAAAGTTTCCTAGTGTATCATCATTAATAGTCTTTGTTAATGACAACACTCATAAAGTTTAATCTCTTTTGCTTCTTAATAGAATCCACACTCACTTCTTTCATTTTTTTTGTAGATCTCCAAAGTGCCAGTGCAGGTCTGTGGTCAGAAAAATGATTGTCGCTCATGTTTGGTCCAACGTGACCCATATTGTGGCTGGTGTGTGCGGGAGGGCCGGTAAGTCTGTTAGAGTGATTTTATTGCCAATCAAAACCATCATATTCTCCAGGACTGGACAACTAATAATAACACACTTCAGCAGAGTAGATATTTCTGCTGTCAAATAAACTAAAACCCATGGTCCCAATGGGTCATGTCACTTCTATTAGAACAGGCCATTGCTTAGAGATCTCATTTTCAAACAGATTATTCAAGAAAAATTCAGAAGGTGTGTTAAATCTTTTGCTTCTGTGTGCAGTCCAGTTAAAGCTAACATAGCACGACTCATTGCTCATGTTTGCCTGCTTTTCTCTTGCAGTTGTACCAGGAAAAAGAATTGCCACAAAGGTGAAGGAGAGAATGTCTGGTTGTGGGGTCCAGATCAAGCATGTAAAATCCTTGAGCCCATCAAAATCCAAGCATGTATCCCAGACCAGACTCCTTCAAATGGGACGACCACACCTCCTAGTGGTGGACTGTAAATAGGTGGAACCTTGCAGTATTACTCAATCGCTTTGTTTGAATATGCCAGTAGATGCTCAAAGCATTTTTTTCTGCTGTACTTTAAATTTACTTTCTTATTGATATATAATTTAGCAGTATGTCCTTTAGCAATTTACATTGCTTTTTAAAATCTTTTTTTACCTACTTTACATATTTAATAGACGAGACGTACACAATTTGCAGAACTAAGTCCATGGTATTGAGAACCACTGATGTTATGAAGAGATCTAGAGAGGATGATATTACAATGGAAAGACAGGAGGGAGAAAGGGAATGTATTTTGCTTTGTGGCACTTGAGATGTAGTAAATGTAATAAAGACATGTAAATCAGAGGTTTTACCAGAACAGAAGACTTCTAAATTGATGCCATGGAGAGTGTCCATTTGTTGAGCAAATAAAAAAAAGATGGAAAAGTTATTGTTGTCCATTTATTTACTATGGTTTTGTATGTTGAGTAATGGATTGCAAGATCTTGAAAGACACATTGCAGATCAGATGATAAAAACAAACATTTGTCAAATCAGCGATTCATTCCGCTGTGGCGACCCTGGATTAATAAAGGGACAAAGCCGAAAAGAAAATGAATGAATGAATAAATACATTTAAAGCACTATTTTTAGCTGGATAAGCTTGTCATCATAACCACATTTTTTGATGTACAAAATATAATTACTAGATTTAGAATAAAGAGATATGAAAAATTAATTATTTTTAAAATACAAATTTATACCTATTATAAATGCAAATTTATTTATTATCATTTAATAGGCGAATTATGAATAACAAGCTGGCCAGCAATTCAACTTTATTCAGTGAGAATCTGGCCATTTGAATAATAACAATAAAAAATAATACCAATGATGTAGACCTTCACAATTTTTCTAGCCTCTCTTGTAAAAAGTACTTTTAAAAATTCATGGATAACAACAATTGTATTCAAATTAATTGTAATTTAATGGGTTTTCAACGGGTTATTTTCACTTTTTATAATGGCATAGCAGTCAAAATAGGATAAATGTGCTCATGTATAGAACAAATTCTAGACCTTTCTAAGTGAGGAGTGGGTTTTTCGAACCACCCAAACCTCCCCTGGCTACGGGCTTGCAATGTGTGACATTTTAATCAGAGCAGCTCATGTTTTTATTGCTCTGAATTCTGTAATTCTAATGGCAACAACAATCCATCTGCATCTGCAGTGGTCAGGAATCACAGATCTCATAGAATTAGCAGTTTACACATTGAAATTAGAAGTTGTATGAGGGTGTGAATTCTGTTTACTAGTCAAAATGTCCTAATTATAGTAATGTTGTAGCAACATTAAATAACTGAAGTTGAGAAAACAATCAAAACTTCAAATTCAGCTATGATGATTGGGGTAAAAGCGACTTCTGTGATCAGTTTAGTTTTTTGAGTTTAGTCAAAAAATAAAAATAAAACCCAGACCCTTCTGAAAAAAAAAAATCAGCATAAACCAGCATGATTAGTGATGATTGGTAAAAGTATATTATTTTCTGTTGATCTCTGTTCATTTGATTTCCATTGGTTTAATTTTAAAATTAAAACATAGTGCCAACTAGGTTTAAAAAAAACTCAAATTGCACGTGTGTTAAAACCAATTAATTTCATAAATGAATATGGATATATGTAAAAAAAGTAAATTATAAAAATCTAACTACAACAGTTTTAAAATTTATGAAGTTCTGCTTACATAACTATTTCTGGTCAAAACATTGTAGACTTGTTTTTTCTGTATATAAGATTGCACTAGTGTTGTTGTTTTTTATTTATTTATCTATTTATTTTTTAAACATTTTTTATTTATTATGATTTATTTATTTTTTATTATTAGGCTATTAATTGCTCAAAATACTCTTCAGTGTATTTGCTTATTGTTACATGTTTATGTCTTTGTAAATTTTTGTAATGTTTCACAATGTATAAATAAAACATAAAAAAACAGGTATTCGTGAACGTCCACACTTCACGCGCACCTGGCGGCTTTCTGAAGCTCAGCCTACAGGGCGTGGAAAAAGGACAGGAATTGTTTTCGACGACTGGATTCCCAACATCGCCCATAGTTCCTCGGATTTCCCAAACAAAGTGAACTACCTCCCCGGCTTTTCTCAAGAAATACGCTTTTATTTTTTCCGCCAGCTTCGGCGATCTTGTTTTTGGGAGACGAATAATGTAATTATTCATCGCTTTCATCGCGATCGGACTCTTGATCCGCCGTCGCGAGTTGTTTCTCGGAAAGGTGAGTGATAGAGTTTAGGTGCTGTCTAATCAGCTTCAGGCATGGGGTTATGGAAAATAGATTTTGGTTAGAGTAAGTATTCAGGTAAAGATTAATAATCTTTCTAAAATAGTTTCCTGTAACCTTGGTTTTTGTTACAGTTTGTACAAAATGTTTGCAGATCAAGGGGTTTGAAATATTTTATTTGCAACAGTAAAATGGAATTAAATAATCCTCATATACATCAGCAGGATGTATACAATATCAATTATCACCGCATTCAGAAAATTATTTGCTTCTATATTAACATATTGGGTTCAATATAATAATATCATGATAATATCTGCACTAATGTTTTTAGGTAAAAACCCAAGTCATCCCAAAAATGTCAAACAGTGTCACTTACACACATAGAGAAAAAATACAGCAAAATGCAGCAAATATATGCTTCTGGTGTGCAATGGTTGTGGTTGTGTTGGAGGTTTTGTCCCTTGGCGGGGAGAGAGAGAGTGAGAGAGAGTGACAACCTGTGCCGCAGCTCTGTGAGGATTGGATGTGTTTAAAAAAATTGAGGTATGATAATATGTTTAAATGTAGTTTTGTCAATTTTTATTTTAAAGTATTAAGAGTTGAAGAATCTGTATAGCTTACACTGACACGAATCTGTCAGTATAGTACAATTATGAGTTAATTAGTTTAGCCAATATTTATTAAGTTTTATAAAAAATAAAAAAACTATTAATGGGTCAATGCTTTCTTGTTGTCTCCATCAAATTCTGATACAAATTTTGCAGCAGTAACAGCCATGTTTTTCCCCAATCAACTACTGCCCAATTTTGGGGAGATTGTGTGAATCTTAGCACCAGTTTGCTGTTCTTAGCTACTTGTATATTATTGGTGGCAACGTGATCTTCGGCTGCTGCAGCCTATGCTTTATGTGGGGAAAAAGTGCTTGTACTTGTATATTATTTTCATATAAATTGCTACACACTGTTTTGGGCTGTGCAAACAGTGTCATATTCACTGTTCTTTTAATGTCTGTGGGGATTCAATGCAGAGAACAAAATCAGAGTATTGGTTATCATACTTGGTCTTTACATCACATTTGCATTTTAACAGATAAAAAGTTGCTAATATATACAGTTGAAGTCAGAATAATTAGCCTCCCTTTGATTTTTTTGCATTATTATTATTATATTTCCCAAATGATGTTTAACAGAGGAAGAAAATTTTCACAGTAAGTCTGATAATATTTTTTCTTCTAGAGAAAAATTTATTCGTTCTATTTTGGCTTGAATAAAAGCAGTTTCTAATTAAAAAAATAATAAAAATTTTAAGGACAAAATTATTAGTCCCTTTAAGCTGTATTTTAAATGTCACTTTAAGCTGTATGGAAGTGTCTTAAAAATATTTAGTATACTATTATTTACTGTCATCATGGCAAGGATAAACCTCAACTGTATAAAATTTTAAAATGTGATGCTTATTTTTTTAGCGTTTCTCAATCTTTCTTAGCATAAAAGCAGAAGGTTTTCGCTTGGTGACGAATTTTGTGAAATTTCCAACAAATGGCTGAAATTGGGAGAGGGGTCTGGATGCTGTGATGGAAATTTTTAATATTGATGATCATATATTGATGATTGACGATTATATATTGATATTTTATGTTTTTTAAGGTTTTGCTAAAGTAAACATCAAATGCATTATATTTTATATTATACTCCATACATGTAATATACTGTTCTTTTAGGAGTTAGAGAAATTCTTATCTAAAACATTGTAACATTGTCTTTAAAAATGCCTGTGAGCCCATCCTTAGGATCCTTTTGCTCACATTGGCTGTTTGTGTTTAAACTGATTAATCTCTGGAGAATTAAAACAATTGAAAGAAAAACTTTGTCTGACTTTATTCAATTTCAGTCTTCACATTAAAATGTATTGCTTGTGAACAGGAAAAATATAATTTGCCATTACAATGCAGACCTCTTTCAGTGAAGTCTGAGCTGCATTCAATACTTTTTAATGCACTCACCTAACCTCACCCCTAACCCTACCCCTCACAGTGACATCATAAGGTCTATTGACTGCATTGGGTCTGACACTGCATTGCTGAAATATGCAGTCTTAGCTTGCATCATCAAGGCTGCATCCAGATACTATTGCAAGTTGGAGGCAACTTGAAGCTAAAGTGACTACAACATAGTGTAAAGGATCAAAGACGCTCTCTGGGAGAATAACTGATGTGTCTCTATGTTAGATAAATTAATTTGATTCATTTCCATATATTCTGTTTATATTCTTTTTATATATGTATACTTTTAAAGGAACCCAAAGTTAATGTAAATTTGTGTGCTTCTTGATATAATCACATGCTCAAATGTAGTTTTTAATCAGTTGAATGGTTGGAATCCCAGTTGCAGGAATACTGTGCAGACAATGAATTTATTATATGATCAATAGGATTCTACCAAACACGCTGTTTAGACCAATGATTAAAGACAATGTTTCATCATCTGTTTGTATGCCTGTATATAAACTGGATTTAAAAGGCTGCCCTTTAAGCAACCAGAATAGAACCTCTTGTGTTTCTTCTGTATTGTTCCCTTACTGCAAGAACATTAAATCTTTTATGATAAATCTTTGAGTCTTGAAATAATTTTTGATCCTGACACTCTAACACTCATGAAATATTTCTTAAATGTGAAAAGAGTTCTGACTAAAATATACAATAGTGATAAACTACAGCCAATGAGAGAGCAAAATACAGGGCGGTAGAAATTTCGGTAATCCGAGATCCAGCTATCCTTGTGGTTCATCAATGACTTTCTGCTCTTCTCTTATATGATTATATTTCCTGTTTTTCTCTTTCTTTTTAAAAGATGAAGTGGATATTGCTGGCAGCTTTTTCTCTGCTGCTGTGTTTTGGCTCATCTTGCTGTAATGATGCTCAAGAACAATTATTGTATCCTACCATCATCAATAATGTGGTCCAGGACCCTCAAACCTGCCGAATCTACCTTGGAGCTGTCAATGGGATCTTTCAGCTGAACCATAATCTACAGGTGGAGAGTTGTGCTGTAACAGACTCAAAAAAAGACCCAAAATGTGACCCCCCCAATCACTGTGAAGTGCACCGATGCGAAGGAAATGGACAACTTTAACAAACTCCTTCAGGTTAACTC